ACTAAGTAGACTGAGCCCTTTGCCCTCATGACTGGGGGCTCTTACAGCTCGTATCACATTCCATACATCAATTGTATCCAGCATATCTGTACATATGTTGCCTTCACCATTTCCAAAGCGTTTTCTACTCAAGCCCTTGGTATAAGCTCCTTTTTTTTTTTTCTTCTGATTTCCCATCTCTTTAATTAGGTGCTCTGAGGAATGGGCAGGAAGGCAGGTAGAGGGGTGGGGAGGGTGGGGATTCCTGAGCCCCCCTTGGCAACCCGTTGGTCCTCTTCCTCTGGCAGCTGGATCTTGCTGGGGTCGAAGCAATTGGATTCCATTGGCCTCTGGATACTTCACAAGCTGTTCAGCTTCCCTGCGAGCCCACTCACGCATCCTGTAATCAGGCAGGTAAGGCACAAAGATGCTGCCAAGGACTAGGACAATGGAGATGCCTATGAAGAAGACAACTTGTGTGTTCCAGAGGTCCACAACAGGAGCCTCATCATAACCAAGAAGTCTGGGTTCTTCTCTTAAAGGTTTTCATCCTCGGGTTCCGGATCCTCCTGCCAGCGCAGGGTTGGTTTTGGCGGCCTTTTCCCCACCATGGCGGGCGGGCGGAGCAACCACAGCCCTAGAGGCGCTGGATTCCCAGAGGACACGTACAGCCAGGAGCCCTCATGTTGCTGTGGCCGCCAAACAGCGGTGAGCACACAATCCTGAGAACACTGCCGCCATGACAGATTGCTCTGCGGTTGAGCTCCTCTTTTGCCCCTCCCTCCTCCTCCCCACCCTCGTGAATCCTTGATCAATTATATATTGTTATTAATATTTTGTATCTTATACTGTCCGCTGTCTCCCTTCACCCACATTTGTTCTTTGTCCCCTTGAGGCCGGCAGGTGGTGGGAAGGGGCACGCTTTCTCAACCTTGTGTTGGGTTCCCCTTCGTAAGCTTATGTTCTATTACCCTAAAAGATCCATGTCAGATGTTGGCAGGAGCTTTGGAAGGAGTGTCTTAGTGTCTGAAGGCGCCCATAACAACAGCAACAAGAACAACAAAAACCTCAGAGGGTGAAAAAGCAGATGTTTATTTTCTACGGTTCTGGGGGTTAGAAGAAAAAGCCAGGGCGGGCGGGAGGTGGGGATCGAATACATGAAAACTGATTAACACGCAAAGAAAGACAGCGCTCAAATAGAGAACTGTGGGCCACTGTCACTCACGGATATAGATGTGACCCTTCTCATAAGCCATGGGCCAAAAGGAGCGATAAGAAACCAAAAGGTTTTAAAAGCCTTAGAATCAAATAAGAATGAAAAGGACGCAGGGCAATGTATAGCAATAGATGCACATATCAAAAAGGAAGAGCCCAAATCAACAACTTCACGTTGTCATTGCAACAAACAGAAAAGGCACAGACACAGAAAAAAAAAAACAACCCCAGCCCCCACAATGGTCAAGAACGGAAATAGTAAAGATTAGAGCAGGAATAAGGGAAACACACAGCGCAGAAAAACATCAAGACTAGAAGTTGGTTCTTGGGTCAAAGACCTAAATATAAAACCTACAACTGGTGGGTAACCGGACTAGGGACTAAGGGGGGTTGCTTCCCTAATGCCTGCGTAGGGCCATGACACAAGGGTTGGAAAGAAACCAGGCACATTAACTAGACACCTATAGAAAGATCCAAACAAGCACCCTAGGCCCAGGTGGGAGGTGCACCTGGGTGCACAGACCAGGCCCAGCCACATGACATCCCACCCCTACCCCGCCCCATGTGCTTAAACTCAGCCAATGAGGCCAGCCAATACCTTCAACCACGCCTCCCCAGCCGGAGGAGCTAAGAGGCTGCCAAAGGAAGGCCAAGTCTCTAGTCCCTTTTGACTCCTCTTTTACTCATCTCTCGTTCAGATTGGATCTGGATGGTGACGGTGTGCCGCCCAGGCCCTGGGGCCCCAGCTCCCTGTCAGGGTGCTCTTTAGGGGTTTCCTGGAAATACCTGAAACTTCCCTTTTCCTCATAAAAGTCACTTGGATCACAAATGTGCTTCAGCCGCACGAATTCTTTCAGCCAAGCAATAACTGAGGTATAAAGATCATGTAATAAACAATGGGGTCAAACTTTAAGGCCCTAGTTTATGGTATAAAATAATAATCTATCAAACATCATTAAGAATTCATAGGCAGCAAATGCTAAATTAGATGGCGGGGACTGCCTAAAAGTTAAACCCATAAGCATTTCAAGAGTAAAGAAGAAATATACAGACAAAAAAATTTGGGAAACATTTGACAAAGTCATTTCCAAGTTTATAGAAAATTTCAGTACTTAAACAAAAATATATAGTCTAGTTGCAAAGTAGGCAAAAGACATGAACAGATGATTTACCAAAGAAGTCAGTCAAACAAACCCATGAAGAGATGATCAGAATCATTAGTCCCTCCCAAAAACCTCCACTGCTATGAGGTTGGTTCGGATTCATAGCAACCCTATAGCACAGACTAGAACCCTGTGATTGAACTCTAAGGAATCACAACCTCGCTCTCTCCCATAGAGCCATTGGTAGGTTTGAACTGCCAGCCTTTCTGTTAGCAGCCCAGAGCTTTAACCACTGCATCATCAGGTCTCCTTTCAGCAGCTATGGAGAGATGCAAACCAAACAACAGTGATATCATTTCACCCCAGCCATAATGATGATGAAGATACAAACAGAAAGCAAATGCTGGCAACGGTGTGGAGGTATTGGAACTCTCCCACGATGTATACACACCTGTTTATGACACAAATAGATGTGTATACCACCACGGTCATCGCAGCATTGTTCACAAGAGCAAAAAGATGGAAACCTAGGTGATGCGCGAATAAACAAATTGTGGTTACACAATGGAATGGTCCACGACATTAAAGGATGAGGATGAATCCACGCGGCATCTCCTGGAGGACATGCTGAACGAAATAAGTCAATCACCAAAGGAGAAATACATGAGGCCACACATCTGTTGGTGCGTCACACTGTGTGGCTTGCGCGTTGCATGTGATGCTTGAAGCTATGCCACCGTATCTCAAAACCCAGCAGGGCCACTCGTGATGAGCAGATTTCAGCAGTGCTTCGAAAAGAAGGCGAGTCTAGGAAGCAGGGACAGATGATCTACTTTGGAGGGGTCAGCCACTGCAAGCCTGACAAGTAGCAGTGGAGCATGGATACATCGCTGGAAGATTAGCATCCCAGGTGGAAGATCCTGAATGTACGACTGGGGAAGAGCTGCCTCCTCAAAGCGGAGTCAGCCTAAGTGACATGGATGGAGCAACGTTTTCAGCCACTTCATTTGCTGATAGAAGGTGAGAAGAAAAGCTGCAAACATCCTTCAATAAATGGGATGTGGAATGCGCAAAGTGTGAATCTGGGGAAAATGGAACTCATCAAAAACACAAGGGAACTCATGAAATCGATATCCCACGTATGAGCGAGTGACCTCTTGCAAGTGCTGAAGAGCAAAGACGTCGCTTTGAGGAGGAAGGTGCATCTAACCCAAGCCGCGGTATTGTCGGTCACTCCGTAAGAATGCGAGAGCAGACGGACCGTGAGTGAGGAAGGCCAAGGAGAATTGATGCATCGGCACCACGCTCTTGATGAAAACCCGGAACACCAAACAAATCCGTCTCGGAGGAAGACAGAACGCTCTAGGGAGACTTTGATGGACTTTGGAGGGACTGGTCCCTGGAGGACCCCAAATGATTCAAGTAGTGAAAAAGGAAGACCTTCAAAGCGATGGACTGAGCCGCTCGCACACAGGGACAGCAGTGAGGCAAAGTGATCTTCCGTTGTGGATGGGGATGCGATGTAGACATCGCGTCTACGAAGAACAGTTCTACATTTCACAGGGCAGCGGCTTGGTCCGTGCGTTTCCTAACTGCTGTGGGAGCCAATCCCCTTTGGCTGCTTTACGCTTTGATAGGCAGAAAATAGGGTGTGAGAAACCAACCGCTTTTATGAGCGCTCATGGACAGTGGTTGATAAGAATCTCTCGTGGGGAGATTCAATTCCTTGCTGGAAGCTGGATCCAGCTCAGACAACCTGGCGGGGAGGTCAGCCTAAAACCCAGCAGCCTCCAGGCGATGCCCATTCGCAGGAGGCCCGTAGAAACCCTCGGGGTTGCGAAGGAACGTGAAGAGAACACGGGTTCGGAATTGGACGAGTCCTTTCCCGACAGCATTCCTCCCCCGACCACCTCTGGGCGGTGCGGCGCGAAAGGACATGCGAGGAACCGAAAAGCTCGGACGCCGAGGTCCGGATGCCAAAGCGCACGCGTGGAAACGGGCGGCGGACGCCGGCGTTGCCAAGCGACGGCGTCGCCCCTCGCGGGCGCCTGCGCCGTGACGCACAGACGCGCGGACCTAAATATAAAACCTACAACTGGTGGGTAACCGGACTAGGGACTAAGGGGGGTTGCTTCCCTAATGCCTGCGTAGGGCCATGACACAAGGGT